ATTCCACTTTGTAAAGGGAAAGGGGCAACCACTAGACATTCCAGTGAATCTTACTTTCACTCCGAAGACCCACACAAGTGTATAGAAATATTAGGATTCAAACTTCCTCACTTTTGCCCTGTGGAGAGTTCCACCTTTCGGAGACCCAAACAGGCATCAAATCTTGGTCCTGTATTGAAGGACTATACGCATCCAGAAGTGAAACACTATTGGGGTTACAAAGACAACCACTTTACTACTGGTGTGGTAAAGGATTCTTTATGGCACTGTCCAAATAACTCACAGTAACAGTAATGGGCAAATTCCAAATATTCTCCTCCCTCGTAGCATGTCTTAGGCTTCCCTGTTGCACCTCCAATTTGGGAGACAATGTGCATGACCTCATTTTCTCTTGAAGAGGCTGACACTTTCTAGGAACATCCTAACTCCCTAGAAGTCTGGATCCTCAACTCTGGAACTCAGGGATACGAACATTGTATTTGATTTCAGGCTTAAAAATTAAAAAGGAAAATAAACTGGCTTTTGTTCTCCTTTAATACTTTCCGTACATCTTAGGTATGAGAAGTGATTGCAGATTTCTTCAATACCTCAACTGAGCAGCGATCTCATCAATGTAAGTGCTACTTCCTCTGTAACTTATATTTACAGAGTTGACCAGAGCACTGAAAGGATAAGGGACTTATTGTGATCACAGAGTTAATAGGTATTGATCTTACATTTTCCTGGCCCCAAGGCTAGCCATGCTGTGTCTCGAAAAGTTTACAGAGATAAGAAAATAGGTGTATCCTGTTCTTCCCAAGTTCTAGCACTTTCTTCCTTTTGAAATTCCTTTGAAATACTACATCGACATTGTATTTACTTGTGTAGATACCATATTCCCTCAGAAGGATACAAGCTCCTTGAAAACAGGAATGGTTTCCTTTTTGGTTTTACCAGCACACTGCACAAGTCCTTAATCGTTTTTTTAATTGAATAGCTATTAATATTTTGTCAATTGTTTTTTTTCTTAAAATAATAAAGTCTGTAATATTTCTAAACATTAGATACTGTCTACTCTTTTTGACAGTTTGAGGATCAATCCATAGATACTCTCAAAATCATGTTGCCTACACTAGTGATTTCCTATAATTGGATTTTCTGTATTTGGTATAGATTAGCTGTTCTTCCTCTTCTCAACTGGTCTTCTTTGATGCCATTTCTCCTTCCTCAGTCAGCGCAGAAGGAACTACCACTATCAAAAAGTTTACTATAAAAGTCTGAATACACCTTTTCAGTTTTCCATCAGAGTGACCCTAACTCCACTTTCACCTTGAAATAATAAACCCAAAGACCCCAGCTTCTGGGATAAGAACTCACCATTTGACAAAAACTGCTGGGAAAACTGGAAAAGAGTATGGCAGAAACTAGGCATAGACCAAAATCTCACACCATATACCAAAATAAAGTCAAAATGGGTTCATGATTTAGATATAAAGGCTGACACTATAAGCAAACTGGGAGAGCAAGGAATAGTTTACCTATCAGATTTATGGAGAACAGAAGAATTCATAACCAAACAGGAGACAGAGAACATTACGAAATGCAAAATGGATAATTTTGATTACATTAAATTGAAAAGTTTTTGTACAAACAAAGCTAATGCAACCAAGATTAGAAGGAAAGTAGAAAGTTGGGAAAGAATTTAAGGGCCTAATTCCTAAAATATATAGAGAATTAAGTCAAATTTATAAGAATACAAGTCATTCCCCAACTGATAAATGGTCAAAGGATATGAACAGGCAGTTTTCAGATGAAGAAATTAAAACCATATATAGTCACATGAAAAAATGCTCTAAATCACTATTGATTGGAGAAATGCAAATCAAAACAATTCTGAGGTACCACATCACACCTATTAGATTGACCAACATGAAAAAACAGGAAAATGATAAATGTTGGAGAAGTGGGAAAATTGGAACACTAATGCATTGTTGGTGGAGTTGTGAAATGATCCAACAATTTTGGAGAGCAATTTGGAACTATGCCCAAAGGACTATAAAAATGTGCATACCCTTTGACCCAGCAATAGCACTTCTAGGGCTGTATCCCAAAGAGCTCATACAAATGGGAAAAGGACCCACATATACAAAAATATTTATAGCAGCTCTTTCTGTGGTGGCAAAGAATTGGAAATTGAGAGGATGCTCATCAACTGGGGAATGGCTGAACAAGCTGTGGTATATGAATGTAATGGAATACTATTGTGCTATAAGAAATGATGAGCAATCAGACTTCAGAAAAACCTGGAAAGACCTGTATGGACTGATGCTGAGTGAAGTGAGCAGAACCAGGAGAACATTGTACACATTAACAGCCACACTGTGCGATAACTAATGTTGACAGACTTAGCCCTTCTCAGCAATACAAGGATCTAAGACATCTCCAAAAATGTCATGATGAAAAATGCTATCTATATCCAAAGAAAGAACTATGGAGTTTGAATACAAATTGAAGCATACTATTTGTTATTTTTTTTCCTTCTCTTCTGTTTCATTTTCTCTTTCTTGCGGTTTGTCCTATTGGTTCTAATTCTTCCTTACAACATGACTAATGTGAAAATATGTTGAATAGGAATATATATGTATATAGGAATGTATAGTCTATATCAGATTGCATACCATCTTGGGGAGGGAGGCAGAGAAGGAGGGGGAGAAAAATTTTAAACTCAAAAGCTTATGGAAGTGATTGTTGATAAATCAAAATACATTAATTTAAAAAAAAAAGAATCTGTCTTAAGTCTCTTCCCAAGCTTCCAGAAAACCTTGTCAGTTTGTTTCTTCTCCCTGGCTACTTGTTGGTTCATGAGGTGAAGCTTTTCATAACCTACCATCTTCTTCCTCCACAAAAGCATACAAATGAACTTCTAATACAGTGTTGTCTTCAGCTGTCACATATGTCTACAGCAAGAAGATGAAGTAATCTCTTCACTTATTTGATCTCCTCATGGGGGCATGTGATTTACACTGGCTTTTAATTTCAAAACAGTGATAGTAAATATCAGCCCATTTTTTTCAACAGTTTTCTTTAATAGGTTAATTTGGAGCTTTGTTAGTCACATCTCATATCTTCTTTTTTCATCTTCAAATTATGTATTGATTTTGATACAAACTCTAACAAATTAGTGATCTGACTGCATAAAAACAGTTAATTCAGAAATTATGTCCACATCAATAACTAGTTATTTCTTTTCTATTAGAATATAAGCAATTTCAATGGCAGAAGGAGGCATTTGGCACTCAGTCATGTCTAATGAATTACAACTCTCTTCTTGAAGAAAGTATTCCTGAAACATGCATGAAGCTCCCATGCAGCATGGAGCCTTAGATTTTTTTTTCCTTCCTCCTGAGTCACACTTTCCAATGTATTTTTCATTGTGTATTGATTTAATTTGGAGGGTCTCACTGAGCCATCTGTACAATTTACCTACTTCATCTTCTGAAAAAGATGTTAGTACATCAGCTACAATTAATTTCATTGTGGGCTTTTTTGAATGCTCATTATGAGATTACAAGAGGAGATGACTTACTACATGTAATATTGAAAATAATTAGATACTATCAGACTCACATCTTAAAATAAAAGGCTTTTATCATTAAAAAGTAATGGTTACTATTTGAAACTGATTAAAAATAGAACAACAGAACAATGGGATGGGCTAGATAAAGAAAAATGTAAATGAATAGCCCATTTTTCAATACGCCCCAAAACAAAATTACCTAGTAACAACTCCCTACTTAACAAGAACTGTTGAGAAAAATATAAAGCAGTCTGGCAAAAATTAAGTTTAGACCAACATTTTACACTATATTCCTCAAACTAAATACGAGAACTGAATATTAAAAATTATACCATAAAAAGGGAGAATTAAATCATACAACTTTTACAAAAATGGCTGGGAGAGAATTCTTAACTAAATAAGCAACAGAAACAATTACAAAAGATAACACATAATCGTGATTACATGAAATTGGAAAGCTTTGGCATGAACAAAACTCATGCATCTAAAAAAAGTAGTAGTATACCATGGGTGTTGAACGCTACATATAGCAGATTTTTTTGATATGTGAATTTGTTTTACAGAACTTTTTTTCTTTCTTCCTCTTTTTTTATTTGTTATAATAAGTGGTGAACTTGGGGGGGTAGAAGTAAAAATAGTGTGGGAAATATAAGTGATATAAAAAGTTAACCAAAAGTTTAAAAATGAAAAGAATTGGATGGGACTTCAAAAATCACCTGACACAATTTCAAATGAAGCATATGTAGCAGGGTCACTGGAGACAATATGTGACAGCCCCAGAGAACCATTTGTCTATACCTGAAAAGAGAGAAGCCCTCTTCTATCATCCTAGAAAGAAGAGAAATGAGCAATGTGCATAGGGAGGACAAGTTACTACGTGAAAGAAAAGGGAGTGCCCAGGAGATCAGTGCAGCCACTCATGTCCCAGCCCTCACTGCCACCGTCAAGTGACTGAACTATGCGGAAGCCACACAGAGTTGATACGTAAAAGCCTGCAGCCATCTTTGTTCACTGAGAATGATATCAACATTTCTTCTCCCTTCTCCTCTCCTTCTCAGAGAATAGATGTGTTCCAAAGCTTATGCCTTTCTTTAAAATTTGTATTTTGCATTGCTATTCCCCTGGTCTCATTACAAGTCAGGACTAAGAAAAAAACTGTAGATACCTCAAATATAAAATTAATAAAGAGATGACAGACAGGTAGATAGATTGACAGACAGACAGAGGTTACAGATATTATATTTGTGTAGTGCTTTATCACTATACAAGTTACCTTTACCTCATGTTATATTTTAATTTTGTAAACAATTAACAATATGATCTCTAGTGAATCTGCACAATTTTATTCTGTTGCTTCAGAAACATAAATTATGTTATCAGGTTTGTCTTCTTAAAAAAAAAAAAAGAAGTATCTTGAGTATCATGGAATTAAAAAGGAACATACCAAATAACAGTCTTGTTTAGCATCCCTCAGCTTCCAGTTTATTATCCCCAGGGCTCCAATACAAGATTGATTATAGGTTCCAGGCCCTGGATTTTCTGAAACAAGCGTCTTAAAACGTGCTTCTCTGTTTCTTAGACTCAGGCCTCCCTTTATATTGTACTAAACAGGAAAGAAAATTATGAAATAAGGAAGAAATCAGCAATATATCCACACTGTTGTTATGATATTATGTGTCTATCTTCAGATGTACTGTGTAAAACCAAAAGAGAGAAAGTCTAGAATCAAAACTTTAAAATGGGCCACTACTCACTGCTCATTTGACCTTGAAAAGTTCCTCAGCCTCTCTGGGCTTCAGTTTGTACATCTGTAAAATGAGGGAACTAGACCAAGTAAACTCTCTGACCATCTGCAGTTCTCATTCTTATGAGCCTGCACTGCAGGGTTGGGAAAGAGAAAAGAAGGAAAGGAATTGGCACATTCTCAGAGCCCCTAAATCCTGTGTTAGAAAAAAATGGAATAAGGGTTCAGAATGTTATTCTGTTGGTCAGTTTTGCTTAACTGTTTTACTTTTTTATGAGGTTGGATGTTTTAGGAAATGACCATAGTATTAAAAAAAAAGAATGGCAACAATAATTTTTTTTTAAATCTTTATAAGATATCACTAGCAAAAATCACAAATTTACCTTTATCTTTCTAATGTTGTAGTGGGCTGGTCCTGGGGCATCATCCTCAGAGATAGCGGTAACAAGAGCACTTTCTCGGGCTGCCAAAGAAAGAAATGGAGCATAGCCATCTACAAAAGAAAAACAAAACTTCTGCCTGAAAAAAAAGAGTTTAAAAATCTAAGAGTCAAGCAAATCATTTTTCACTACTCTAAACTGTTTAATCTATATAACGTAGGCACCATATACTAGTAACATAAATAACATGTTTTGAAAAGGGTATATTATTTAAAGAAAAAGGTATCACATTTGTTCTAAGATAATCAGTACAAAGTCCCAAGTCTTATTTATCATTACACTTAATATCAATTAGTATATGAGATGTTGTAATGCATCAACCATACAACAGGTTGGTAAACATTTAAGCATTTGTTAAGTCCTTTCAATATGCTAGGCATTGTGCAAAGTGCTGAGAATACCAAAAAAGGCAAAGAAATGATCTCTGCTCTCAAGGAGCTTACATTTGAATGAGAGTGACAGTATATAAATAACTAGGAACATATAAAACATATATATGGAGTAGATGGAAGATAATCTGGAAGAAAAAGGCATTAAAATTGGGGGAGACCAGGAAGGCCTTCTACAGAAGCTGGGCTTTTGATCCTGGAGATAAAAGGGAACAACTTGAACTCACTGTGGGGGGAGTATACAGGGCAGACAGGAGAACCAGGAGATACTACTGTAGCAAAAACTTACAAAAGACAGTGACCAAAAGGAAAAGTTGATTGATAGCATCATAAGTCTTTCAAAATTGTCTTGGATCATTGTATTGCTTAGAAGAGCTAACTCACTTCCAGTTGATCATCATACAATACTGCTGTTGCTGTATACAATGTTCTCCTGGTTCTGCTCATTTCACTTTGCATCAGTTCATGTCTTTCCAGGCTTTTCTGAGAGCATCCTGCTCATCATTTCTTAAAGCACAACAGTATTCCATCATAATCATATACCACAGTATTTTCAGCCATTCCCCTATTGATTGGCATCCTCTCAATTTTTGACTTTTACAACCACAAAAAGAGCTGCTATTTATAGCATTATTTCTGTACACGTGGGTCCTTTGCCTTTTTTTTTTTTTACCTCTTTGGGATATAGACATAGTAGTGGCATTTGTGGGTCAAAGGGTACATACAACAGTTTTATAGTTCTTTGGGCATAGATCCAAATTGCTCCCCAGAATGGTTGGATCAGTTCAAAACTCCAACAGTCCATTACTGTCTCAATTTTCCCATACCTCCTCCAGCATTGACCATTTGCCTTTTCTGTCACAGTAGCCAATGTGATAGGTGTGGGGTGGTACCTCAGAGTGGTTTTAATTTGCATTTCTCTAACCAATAGTGAATTAGAGCATTTTTTTCATATGATTACACATAGCTTTGATTACTTCATCTGAAAACTGACTGTTCATATCCTTTGATCATTTATCAATTGGGGAATGACTTATATTCTTATAGATCTGACTCAGTTCTCCATAAATTTGAGAAATGCAGGCTTTATCAGAGAAACTTACTGTAAACATTTTTCAGTGATTATTGTGTTTCCCTCTATCCTATTTTCTCCCTGTTTAACCTTCTCTCTCTTTTCACCCTATCCATCCTCAAAAATTTTGCTTCTAACTACCACCTCCTCCAATCTGCTCTCCTTTCCATTAGCACCTCCCTTTTCTCATCCCCTTCTCTTCTAAGAAAATACCAAAGGATACGGTAAGATAGATCTCCCTACCCAACTGAGTGTGTATATTATTCTCTCAATGAGCCAATTCTGATGAGAGTTCAAACACTTACCTTTACTTTCCACATCTTCCACCCACTGTAAAAGTGCTTTCATGCCTCTTTTATGTCAGATAATTTACCCCATCCTACCTTTCCCTTTTCCCTTTTCCCAGTGCATTCCTCTTTCTCAGCCCTAAATTGTATTTTTTTAGATACTATCCCATCATATCATTTCACACCTGGGCTCTCTATGAATGCTCCTTCTAAAAAGTTCTTAGGAGTTACCCACATAGGAATGTAAACAGTTTAACCTTATCAAATCCCTTATGTTTTCCCTTTTCTGTTTATCTTTTTCTATTTCTTTTGAATCTTGTGTTTGAAAGTCAAATTTTCTATCCAGTTCTGGTCTTTTTCATTAGGAATGCCTGAAATTCCTCTATTGCATTATATATCCATTTTTCCCCTGGAAGATTGTACTCAGTTTTACTGGGCTGGTGATTCTTGATTGCAGTCCTAGCTCCTTTGCCTTCCACAATATCATTCCAAGCCCTCCAATCCTTTAATGTGGACACTGCTAAATTTTGTGTTATGCTGACTGTGGCTCCATGATGTTTGAATTGTTTCTTTCTGACTGCTTGTAGTATTTTCTCCTTGACCTAGGAGCTCTGCAATTTGGCTATAATATTCCTGGGAGTTTTCATTTTGGGATCTCTTTCAGGAGCTCATAGGTAGACTATTTTCACTTCTATTTTACCCTCTGGCTCTAGAATATCAGGACAGTTTTCATTCATAATTTCTTGAAATGTTATGTCATCTCTTTTTTTTTAATCATTGCTTTCAAGTAGTCCAATAATTTTTAAATTATCTCTCCTGGATTTGTTTTGCATGTCAGTTGTTTTTCCAGTGATATATTTAATATTTTCTTCTATTTTTTTCCCATTCTTTTGACTCTGTTTTATCGTTTCTTGGTGTCTCATGGAGTCATTAGCTTCCACTTTCCCAGTTCTAATTTTTAAGGAATTATTTTCTTCAGTGAGCTTAGAACCTCCTTTTCCATTTGGCCAACTCTACTTGTTAAGTTCATCTCTTTAGTCAATTTTTGCATATTTTTTCCTTTTGACCAATTCTGCTTTTTAAGGAGTTCTTCATTTCAGTGGACTTTTGCATTTCTTTTACCATCTGTCCTATTTTGTTTTTTAAGGTGTTATTTTTTTCAGTATTTTTTGTGCCTCCTTTACGATGCTATTTTTCATGATTTTCTTGCATCACTCATTTCTTTTCCCAATTTTTTCATGATTTTCTTGCATCACTCTCATTTCTTTTCCCAATTTCCCCTCTATCTCTCTTACTTGATTTCAAAAATCCTTTTTGAGCTGTTCTAGGAATTCTTTTGGAGCCTGAGACAAATTCACATTTTTCTTTGAGGCTTCGGATGTAGTAGTTTTGACTGTGTTGTCTTCTGAATTTGTGTTTTTGATCTTCCCTGTCACCATAGTAACTTTCTATGGTCAGATTCTTATTTTATTGTTTGCTTATTTTTCCAGTCTATTTCTTGACTTTTAACTTTATGTTAAAGTTGGGCTCTGATCCTGGGGCAGAGGCGTCACTGTCCTAAGCTTCAGGCTTTTTGTGTAGCCATTTTCACAGCTAATTCTGGGGGTCTGTAAATTTTCAGTCTTCAAGGTGATATGATCTAAGGAAAGAGATGTTTACTATTCTCCTGGCCTCTGCTCCAGGTCTGTAAGTGACCACAAGCACTCTTTTCTGCCCTGGAACTATGCCTAGGTCCCTTCTCCCCCACAGCTGCAAGATTTGGTGTGCTAATGCTTCTCCTCACCCTGGGATTGTGACCCAAGATTGTGACCTGGATGGATCCTCTTATGGGCAATGCAACAGAGTCCTGCACCCATTCAGCAAAGGGTTGAGAGGGCTGAGAGCTCTGGAAGCCAGTGCTGCTGGTTCTGTTGCCCTTATAATAACTACTATGCAGCTGAGATTTTGCCTGCTCTGAACTGTGCTCCACTCTCACCCTGGTGTGATAGATTTTTCCTGCCAACCTTCTAAGTCATCCTGGGCTGGAAAATTGCTTCACCCCATCCTTTTTTTGGTTCTGCTACTCTAGACTTCATTATGAGGCTTTATTTTAAAGCTGTTTAGAAACAAATTTGGAAGAGCTCAGATGAGTCCTTTCCTTTTCTTTCCCATCTTGGCTCCACCCAAACCTTGAAGGGGAACTCTGAAAAAAAAAATCACAGTAAGTAATTTGTGCAGCTCAGTTCAGCATAGGAAGAGGAACAGGGAGGTCTGCAAAGCAAAAGCACTGCAGCATTCAGGGAGAGGCTCTTCACCAATGCAAGAGGAGATCCCAGACCCATACCAGGACATTACTAGACCCATCCAGGGGCCCTTCAATGGAGACAGGTACAAACTGTCAGCTTTGTTGCTTTGTTGCCCACCATCCAGTTCTAAGACACAGATCCAATGTGGCCTAAAAAGAGGAGCTCCTCTCAGGGTAACATTCCCAGGTGGAGAGGCCCTAGGCAGTATACTAAGAAAAGAGGAAGTTGAGAAGCCAGCAGCAGCAGTAGTATGGGGCAGAGCACTGTCTCATTTCCACCATCTAGCCCAGCAGGAATAACCAGGGCAGGAATCCCAGACCAAAGAGAAACCTAACATTCTGATAATCTGAACCAGCAGAGCTTTCCAGCTAGCTGACAGGGGCTGAGATCAGCAGCTGTTTACTCTTGCTCAGACAAAAACCCAGGTCAGGAACTCACAGAGCTCAGACCAGGAGGTCAGCAGCTAGACTTTGCCTTGGAACATTTCACTTTGGGAACACTATCAGCCTGCAAATCACATGCCTGTCTCTGAGGTCCTAGAATAACACTCAATATCCCAAGAAAGCAGCAGTAAGACCAACTCAGACTTGCCCTCAAGAACTGCAATAAAGCCCAGCCCTTCACTCAACCCCAACTGCCTCACTTTTAAAAATATAAATAAATAAATAAATAAAGCCCAGCCCTAACAGCAAATCCAAAGTCAAGAAGTAGACTAGAAAGATCAAAGGAAAAAAAAAAAGAATCCTACCATAAAGAGCTATTACGTATCAGAGAAGTTTAGGAAGAGAATGACTCCAAAACTATAAGCAAAGCCTTAGAGAAAAACACAACATGAGCAAAAATTCAACTAGAATTCCTAGAAAAGATGAAGCAAGAATTTTTAAGGTTATTTTTGTTTTATTATAAATGATATGAGATGGGTTGAGGGAAAAATGGAAAAGAAATGATAGCAATGGAAGAAAGAATTGAAAAGGGAATAGACAGCTTGGCACAGGAGGGACAAAACCTTATCCAAGCAAC